GGGTGCTGGATCGCTGCCACGAGGGATGGGGACACCCAGCACCGGTCCCCCCTGTGCTGGTCCCAGAGCTGCTCTGCTCCGAGCTTGCTCCGGAGCCCAGCACCAGCCCTGCAAACCCCGGGACTCCGGCCTCCCGCCACACAAACACCTTACACCCTGAGTTTCTTTTTTTTCCTCCTAGCCTACTTCAAGGAGCTATCTCTTCCAGGCTGGTCGCACAGTCAGCACTAGCAACGTACCTTCCCGCTACCAAACACCCCATCCAAGGGTGGAGGCTACGGATGGGACTCTGGAGCCTGGGGACTGCAGACCCCCCCAGATCTCACCAGGCTGCCAGCCACCAGGGTCAGGAAACTGTCCCTTGGGTCCCCAAACTATCGCGGCTGCTTCAAAAGTCAAGAATTTACAAGCTAACACACCCGAAGTTCAACAAAAAGTTGTTTTCTGATGTAGGGGAGGGACGTTATGAAAATGAACAAGAAGCCCAAGACCCCGAGCCCACCACGTGCGATGCCGTGGCCCCGGCGCTGGGCTCCGTCCCCAAGGCGATGAGCTCCGCAGGGCCGGTCTCTGCACGCTCGGGGGTCTCTGACCGAGCCTGCACAGAGAAGGGTCTTTTCTACATGGCCTGGCAGAAGTTCAGCTTCAAAGTGGCTGTAAAGATTTATTAATGCAGCAGATCACTACCTGCTGCCCTGAAAACACACTGTGCCTTGGTCTGGGCTCTCATCCCTCGGTTAGGGACTTTCTTAAAAGCACAGAAATACAGAGAAGCCCCATTAAAATGCCACTCTGGGGGCTTTAAAATAGACTTTTTATTTTAAATGTGGGAGGGGGTGGGAGAAGAATTTAAACGTTAAACTACTAAAATTGCAAACCAATTATAAATGCCTACAAATATCTGCAGGGTGGGTGTCAGGAGGATGGGGCCAAGCTCTTTCCAGTGGTGCCCAGTGAGAGGACAAGGGGCAATGGGCACAAACTGAAGCAGAGGAAGTTCCAGCTGAAGATGAGGAAGAACTTCTTCCCTCTGAGGCTGACGGAGCCCTGGCCCAGGCTGCCCAGGGAGGTTGTGGAGTCTCCTTCTCTGGAGATATTCCAGACCCGCCTGGACAAGGTCCTGTGCAGCC